ATATATAAACACATATCTAAACTATGAAGATATACATATATAAACACATATCCAAACTATGAAGATATACATGTATAAACACATATCCAAACTATGAAGATATACATATATAAACACATATCTAAACTATGAAGATATACATATATAAACACATATCCAAACTATGAAGATATACATGTATAAACACATATCCAAACTATGAAGATATACATGTATAAACACATATCCAAACTATGAAGATATACATATATAAACACATATCCAAACTATGAAGATATACATATATAAACACATATCCAAACTATGAAGATGTACATATATAAACACATATCCAAACTATGAAGATGTACATGTATAAACACATATCCAAACTATGAAGATGTACATATATAAACACATATCCAAACTATGAAGATATACATATATAAACACATATCTAAACTATGAAGATATACATGTATAAACACATATCCAAACTATGAAGATATACATGTATAAACACATATCCAAACTATGAAGATATACACATATATAGGATTGTTAATTTTTTTTCAGTTTAACAATTGGATTAATCTGATAATTATAGATATCGGGCTTTATTGTCGATGAATGGAATTATATCGAATACGGCTCTTTGTGATTTTAATACTAGAAATAAACGACCTTATAACACCAAATTGTTTTTATTTAATTAGTCACTCAGCGTTTCGTTTTACAGCTTCAGGAGCGTTCACTAAAGCACAAACCGAACGTTCCTGAAGAAGCTGTAGAGTGTTTAATTAAATCAACACAACATTTTGGTGTTATAAGGTCGTTTATTTCTAGTATTAGTATGTCTTCCATACACCAATGTGCACTACATAAATTATATAATGAGTTTGTGATTTTCTTTATCAGATGTGTTTTTGAATATGTGTTCTTAAACGCATGAATTTCGGAACAGTTGGATGATGGTTTTGAACATTCGCCCAAAGATACACGAGGGCTGACTGTTTAAAAATGGAGATAGTCAAT